AACTATATTTAATTATCTAATTAATATAAAAACAAATACAAAATAGTTTATATTGTGCTAAAATGATTAGCCAAAGTAAGAGAAAATAATTTTGTTGTCTTGAAAAATTGCTTGAAGTATAATCTTACTATTTCTAACAATTAACACTTTTAGCGATTACTCGCATGTTATTAACAAAAATAACATAAACTCCATAATTAGAAATGATTTCAGCCTTCTGTGAAGGTGATCACCTTCAACATGATTATTTGATTATGCACCGCACACTAGGGTTACCTGCCTAAAGGTAACCCTACTAACCTAAATAATGTCATCAGGAAGATTTTTTAAGGTAAACTAATTTACATTCATATCTTGGACAGATATGCACAAAATGCCTATGTTCTAAACCCATTCATCAGGTATTGAACAGAATTAATGTTCAGTGTTTTTATTTATTTAGCCACCGACGGGATATTATAGCAACCTTCAGAGAATATGGTTATCTGTGATTGTCATTACCAATGTTTGTTTATATTCTCAGGAATACTTTTGACTATTGAAGGTGCTCAACATGAGGGGCATCACTATATACTATATTGCCGAAATATATACTGTGTTGCTGCAACTATGATCAGTGAAAAATATTCAGTTATTTATCTTACAAATTTGAAAAAATAAAATATGATAATTCTGATTAAAAGGAAAATTACTCTCCATTTCAATTTCACTCTTATACTCTAATAATTGCTTAATTTTTCAGGTAGTAGAATTTCATTAAATAATCTATTTTGATACAATTATTCTTACATTCTTTGGAGGTAAGTGTTTTTCATCATATTTTATTCTACAATATTTCTCCAAAAATGATTTTTTTAAAATATTGACATGATTTAATTTTATTGCTCATTTGTCAAATATAAAACACAGGTGGAACGGGAATGCAGAAAATCTTTTAAAAGCAAGTCTTTTTATGGATCTCCCAAATTCTCTAAAATATATTATTTAAAAGCCTAATTATTTTATATTTCTGATCCTACAAAAGTATTTTCATGACAAAGTGAAGTGAAGCAATACTAATAAAATTCATGACAGTAATAATTACAAAAATCCTACGAATATTTTACAGAATGCTGGGTATTTTCTAACAGAGGAACATATCCTAATACACGATAGTGCATTAAAATGTTGACTGTCCGACGTCTGGCACATCTAGTAATTTTACATTATACTCCATCTGATATTATGTTTCATTAAGGTAATTCGAATTATAAACAAACCTTCATTAATAATGCGCTTAATAAACCAATTGAAACTAATTAGTTATAACTAATGCTAGTCCATAATTATATAAAAATAAAGGCTAATCTTTGGAATATGGTAACAGGTAGTTTGGCGACATTTTGGTAAGGCGATAAAGGTTACTAGCTAGGACTTTAGCAGTGTACATGGATAAAGTCAAGAGTGTGCGCAATGCCATTTTTGTGCAATTCTGAGATTTTTTTTTTAAGTGAAAATAGGTCGACGTGTACATGGATGATACCGTGTATGTGCAATTCTTAAAAACGCGGCAAGCAGTGGGCGATTCTGCACTTTGTCCCAATTTTGCACCTAATCTTCGTCATGATTAAGCACTTTTGTGTCATAAAAATTCTAGCTAAGCGTAATTCGGCTAGCAGATTGTTGGAAAAAATGTTGAGTTAAAAAAAAAAAAAAAAAAAAAAGCCTTTACTTCGTGAAAACAAAATGGCGTCAAAAAAAAAAAAAAAAGCAGGTTGCTGTAGCAGGGTTGGTCGCCAAATTTTCGGCAAAAAATCGCCGAGTTACCATAATCCAAAGATTAACCAAAATGAACCTTGAAATTATTCATTTTGCTGGTAATTAAATCGCAATGTAATCATTAATCCTATTTCCTTAGTATAAATTACTAAGAGAAAAAATTACTAATTTACTGATATATAAAAAGAAATATTTGACAGTCTTTCCTTCAATTTTTACTTTCAGGTTTTGCTAAAAAGTAAAAATAACTTACCGTCATTCGAGTATAATTGAAAAATAATTCTGGGTACTTCTGCCTCAGTGACGGAAACAATGCTGCATGAGCGGAATACGTATCTCGCTCTTGAAAAATTGACCGAACCCATTCCCGCCTTGGAACGCAAACGCTTTTGTACAGCAAATACATACATATTAAATTACTTCTCAAATGCATAACGCGCTTTCTTTCTTCAGCTTTTTTAACTTTAGACATTCTAACCGCAAACTTTCGACATTGTACCCCAAAATAGGAAGAAATATTGCCATGCGCAAATCAAAGCGACTTGATTGGTTGGGGGTAGTAATTCTTAGGCTTTGAGACTTACAAGTGTAAACGGGTGGGGATCCTTGGGAAGTAACAAAACGTTAGCGTACGTTTCTTGGGACCAAAGTTCCGCTAGTGTAAACGGGCCTTTAAAGAGCACTAAAACTAACCAGATCTAGAAGAAAGGTTAAATGTAACCCAAAGTACTTATAAGTACCGATGGTACTTGGGGGGAGTACTGTGGCGTCCGACAGATACTTCAAATTCTATTCATGAGATGGCGCCACGTGTAAATCCAGTTCTTAATCGAGCAGCAAAGCGACATCTTACTCACTCAGACTTCTCGTCACACAACGGTACGCCGAAGGTAGCATGAAGTGTCCGAGCTCTGTATTGATCTCTGATGTAATTTAAATTGTAATTAGTATTTAATATATTTTTTGTTATAGGAGATTGTCTACTCTTATTTTCTTTAATTATATCATGCATTAAGCACACACGACCACCAAATATATATTCTGCTTTACCACTTAGAAATAATACTTAAGCGAATTTTGTGGCATGGTCTATACTTTCACATCATTTTGAGTTTATTAACATTCTTTAGAATATGGTCACTTTTATCTGGTTGCATGTGTAGTCTCCCTTTTATTTTTTGTTTATTATCTCTGTCTTTAAAATATATTGAACTCTCATTCTCTACATTGATTATATATTCTTTATGAAAATGAATATTTAGAGAAATAATGCGTAAGACAATTAACATTATATAACATTACAGAGCTAATTCTAGAATGGCTACTATGTGGAAGGCTATCAGATACTGCATTTTTAAAGTAAATAATAGAAGGATATTTCTATCGAAGTTATATGAGAACTGAATAATATGAGATTATAGTTAGTTATACGAGAATATCTGAAATAATATTTTCACAGGCATACACATAATGTTTCAATACTTGAGTTTTCAAAGCAGAAAAAGTTGTAAAATAATACACATCCAGAAATGTCAAAAGTAGCTAGTTATCTGATATATATGTAGATCATATGAGCAGGAATGTGATATATTAATACATATATAAAATTAGATCGAAAAGTAATTGCGGCTCTGCGTTTTCGCAATAGACGAACATTACTCGACTTTTAATGCTAATTTAGCAACATATCACGTTGTTTCATACGGTAAATGCTCATTTCTTGAAGTGGAAAAAGCTGTGTTCACAATCGTAAGTATTTTATTAAATTAAAATAGAAGTTTCCTTAATACCCCGGTGAAATAATAACTTTAGTTTCAGCTAGTATTCACTTGCTTTAAAACACCAAAACTGAAGTTTGAAGTTTGGATAAAAAAAAGAAGCAAGTGCAAAATGACCCAGTTGTTTTAGTGATTTAAATAAATAATATTATTATTACTGTGCAGAATTAAAAAAAAAATGTGGTGGTCAAAATATATAAATACTATCAAAATTCAACATAAATGCTAGAATAGTTAAGATAAAAACAAAACACAAATAAAAAATACAAACAAAAATAGTTAAGATGTTGAAGAAATAGCTCAGGGTTATTATTATAGACAAATTCCTTTAAAATCTGACATTTTAATAAACTGGGATATGAAACATAAAGAATGTAATATTTGACGAAGGCCAAGTCTGATGAGGACAGCTATCAAAATGTAATATGAAATTAGTTTTCAAATAAGTGAGAACAGCTAGGAGATTTTTTTTTTTTTTTTAATTTAAATGAGTTTATAGTTGTCGACAGAGCTTATAATTAATGATTAAATATTTCTTCAGAAAAAAAAATTAATGCATTATGGTGCAAATTTGCGTATTTCAGTGAGATGGATTTAAGAGATTTACAATTAGGATTATAAATTTAAATTATATTTTAATAAATTATGGCCAAAGAATAAATTAAATTTATATTCAATGTATTTATTTAATTTATTCTTTTGAAACACTTTTAACTTTAAATTTGCTTTTTTATGTATATATACATGTTTGTTAAAATTTATAATTAAATAATATCTTTAATAAATTTATAATTAAATATTAAAATAGGATTAGAAAAAACTTCAACTTCGGCTGCGTATGTTTTGTTTGTATACAAAAGAGCGTGATGAATTATTAGTTCTGAGTAAATCAAAGTCGCTCTGTTTCGGTTTAAAATGTTATTATGAATAAATTCATGATTAACATTGAAATCACGCGCCTTTATTTTAGAGTTCTGCATTTCTTATGTAAATGGCTTCTTCGGAAAAGGACGTTATGTTTTTTGCTATTACTTTTGGTTATGTGTGCAAGTTTTGGTATTTATATGACCGTTGTTTCATACGGTAAATGCTCATTTCTTGAAGTGGAAAAAGCTGTGTTCAACAATCGTAAGTATTTTATTAAATTAAAATAGAAGTTTTCTTAATACCCAGGTGAAATAATAACTTTAGTTTCAGCTAGTATTCACTTGCTTTAAAACACCGAAACTGAAGTTTGGATTACTTAAAATAGAAAAAAGAAGCAAGTGCAAAATGACCCAGTTGTTTTAGTGATTTAAATAAATAATATTATTAATACTGTGCAGAATTTAAAAAAAAAATGTGGTGGTCAAAATTTTGCACGTAAGAAATATTAGATTGATAATTGCATTTGTTTATTTATTTTATTTTTATGGATTAAATTCTTTTTTTTTTTTTTTCTCTTTTTAGTGTGATAAATATCAAAACAGAGAAGCACTGGGTAATCTTTGTGCTGATCTTTGTGAACTGAATACATTAAAGCCAAATAACTGCCTTCCAAATCATTTAGGCAAAGATGTAGTTTTTGAAGCTACTTATTTCGATAATCATGTGGTAATGAAATCTAGCAAGCTAGACTCGGAGGATTTCGATCAAATATATTATAAAGATGAAGAAGGAAACAGAGTTCATCCCGACTTTGATGCTTTCTTTTCGATGGTTTCCAATACAGTAAAATCCAACTTGGACATATCTCTAATTCCTACACAGAATGAATCATTAGACATGTTAAGTAAACTTTGGACAAGAAATATGCACAACTTCCCATATCTGCCTCTTTCACTTCAGAATGCTGCAATGAATAACATATGGTTTCTTATTCAACAAACAGAGTATTTACTGATGAAATATTATGAAGAGATGAATGTCTTTCCAAAAGTAATTGGAACATGTGGCCCATTTTATGTTGTTGAATTCATCCAGCCTCTGAATAATTATTTCTTAATGTTTTATCCTGCCTGGAAAGAAGAGTTTATTGAAAGAGCAAAATTAGCTCTTAAAGTTCTTAAATTTTTAGAAAATACTGAGAAACATTTTCCTTTTTTGCATTTTTGTGATGTAAAAGTGGGTCATTTTGGTTTGGATAAGAACTTTGAAGTCAAGTTACTAGACATGGATATGGTCTTTTTTGAAAATTCATTGATTAAAAATATTGTTGCTATAAAAAACTGTACAAATGATCAAGACTGTTCCTTCATTGACTGCAAAGGGGTGTGCAATATTGCTGAACAGACTTGTGAAGCTAAAGTGTTGGATAATAACTTCCAGGTATGTTATTTTTTTTTAATATTCTTTTCCTTTGTCTGTAATGATCTGCTAGTGGTTAATGGACTACTGAAAAAGCATACTTAATACTAGGTTTGCTTTCTAGCAGTTGAACAAACTGACTGCATAATTTTTTTTTTCAGTAGTTTCCTAGAATGAAACATAAGTATGATGTGGTTTTCCATAGAAAATCTTAAAGAAGATATTCCTCAACAGATTTTTTTTTCAGTTGTTTTGGTGTAATGAATTAACCAAACTGCTATCTATTTATAACTATTTCTTGTTAATGTAAAAGAATGAAGAGTGAGAATTTATTATACGAAATCATTAGTTTGTATTACTCAAAAATTTAAGTTTATAAGATTAAATTGATTGGGTTCAGATTAAAAAGTAATTCCTAAAGCTACTTTTGAAGATTCTCTCTTTCATCAAGAATATGAATTCTGTGAGTGTAAAAGGTCTGTTGATATTATTTCTAACATTATAACAATAATAGTGTATAGTTAAAATAGGTGTAATAGAGGAAGAAAAAAAAAATATATTTAAATGTCATACTTTTTAAAGAAAACGTATTTACATTTGTACTAAATTATAAAATAATCCCTCCTCTTTAAATGAATAAGTGAAATATTTTATAGTCCTTTATAAATGTCAAATTTTATTAGTAGGTAAATTAAATATTTAGTACAATTTAAGTATTGATTCAATACTGCCTTAATTTTGAATTCTTTTTATGTTTTATTTCTGTACTGTTAAAATTTATTTGCTGAAGTATATCATATGTACTGTATCTTGAATCAAACAGTTTTAGATGAAATGTGCAATGGTTTTAAAAATTTGAACAAATAGGTTAAAAAAAAGAAATTCTTGATCTTCTCCACCAAGTGGCAAGATAGTCCTATTCCCACTCTTATTAGTATTTAAGTATTGAATAATTTCATAATCATCAATGTAAAAGTATTATGTCATATGTGAAACAGAATGAGTGAATTCACAAATCAATGCCTGCAGTACACTGGAACAAATGTGTCCTTCCCATGAAGAATATCAAGTGATATTCTATATATTTATGCACATTTCCTAACCTAACACTGATTTTCAGCATTTACGTATATTAATTCATAAACATGACTGAAAAAATTGTAAGTAAATTGTATATTGTAAAAAACTCACCTTAAATATGTAGCACAGGAGAAACACAATTTACTTGTCACAAAATGTAATATTGAATCACATGAAAAATAAATGCAATAACATGGAAACAAATGCAACAGCCTGACATCTGTTGGCTTCTCTATATATTGTCACATCACTGTGCACTTAACTACTTCTTTCTTATTTGATACTCTTTCCCATACAAGAATTTTACCTTCTGCACAGGTATCCCTCTCCAATATATTAGTTGGAAAATATCGAGTGTTTACTTCTCTCTGTATGCAAACACTCTGTTAAAACTTTGATGCGCACTATATTATTTTTATAATTTTTTTAACTAAAAACACTAGAAATCGAATATTATGATCTTAAAGACAAAAATTATATGAATTTAAAAAAATCTACTCTCACCCATTAATCTGTGGGTGGTAGTTTCGCTGTGAAACCAGCGCGCGTGTAGGACTTTGAAACTTACTGAGTTAGTAGGAAAACACAACTTACCTTTTTCCGTACGCATTCATTTCCAATGAATGACGAAATTTGGGAATAAAAAAAAAAAAAAAATTGAATTTAAAAATTGCATCAAATATAAATTTTTTACTTTATTTTACAAAGTAAATCATCAGAAAGAAATTATAATTATAATTTTATTTTTCTGCGGCAGTGAAAACATGAGAACGTACATAATAAGGAAATTGGGATAAATAGATAAAAAAACTCAATAGAGTATTAAAAAACTAGATAAAAAAAACTCAAAGAACTAAGTTATTTTTATGAAACTGCTCAAAGCATGTTTTATCTTTTTGGTACATGCATAAGCCAACACTGCATGTTTCGCACATGTATCTTGTTCTGTGAGGTTTCTCCCGTGTGCTACATAACGTACACCACTGGGATTTGCATTTTACTGGCATATGTCCTGCGTTCTTTAGTCGTTTTTCATCTGGCACATAAAATTTACGGTTTTTTATGTTGATAGGCAGGCTTGATCTTTTTCGCTTTGGTACGGATCCTTCATTTCTCATTTGTGTCATATGACTGATTATATTCATTCTAAAAGACTTGAATATTTTCAAACTGGGTTCACTTTCTGGAAGCATTCGGTATATAATGAAGGCGTTTATAATGGTGACATCAGTAAAATGAAAGAAGATTCAGTTGATCTTTACATTATGGTAACTTGGCGAAAATTTGGCGACCAACTCTCCTACAGCAACCCTCTATTTTTTTTTTTCCCGCTGCCATTTTGTCTTCACGAAGTAAAGACATGTTTCTTTTCTTTTTATCTACTGAACACTTCTTCCAACAATCTACTAGCCGAATTACACTTATGCTAGAAATTATCTAACAAAAACTGCTAATCATGACAAATATTCACTGCAAAATTGGGAAAAAGTGCACAATACCATACTCCTTATGCATTTTTTCAAAATAAACATACACATAAACCATGTACACATCGACTTATTTTTACTTAAAAAAACATCCCAGAATTACACAAAAATGGCATTGCGCACACTCTCACTATATCCATGTACCTGCTTTTTCTCATAAATTTGAAAAAAATTTCACGAAATACATGACAATTTTCTGAATCTTTAAACCCGTAAAAAAAAAGAAACATATATGAAATTACCTGATCGCGAAAAAAATATAACCCTTTCCAAATATGAACATTTCCACATATAAAATAAATAAAATATCCAAAAACTTTTACCTCTAAATCATCTATTATATTATAAAGGTCACCAACGAATTCATACTGCAAGCATTACAAATACTTAGTGTCAAATATTTAAATTATTTCCATGCACGTTTACTTCAACTAAAACGTATACCAAATTCCTACAAACATAAAATTCACAAAATAACTATCATTTAATTAAAATATCACTAAACCATGTACACATCGACTTATTTTTACTTTAAAAAAAAATCCCAGAATTGCACAAAAATGGCATTGCGCACACTCTTCATCATATCCATGTACACTCCTTTTTTCTCATAAATTAGAAAAATTTCACGAAAATGCATGACAATTTTTTTAATCTTTAAACACGTTAAAAAGAACATATATGAAATTACCTAATAACGAAAAAGTATATACCCTTTCCAAATATGGACATTTCCACGTATAAAATAAATAAAATATCCAAAATCTTTTACCTGTAAATTATCTATTATTATAAACGTCACCAACGAATTCATACCGCAAGCATTACAAATACTTAGTGTCAAATATTTAAATTATTTCCATGCACGTTGCTTTAACTAAAAACGTACCAAATTCCTATAAACATAAAATTCACAAAATAAACTATCTTTAATTAAATATATTAAATTCAAAACACTCCTTAAATAATAAAACCACATACATTAAATTAATAAAAATTAGCTTACAATCCTAATTACTTTAAACTAAATCATGCTAATAACAATTTTCCCAATAATACCAAATTACTTTACTTCCACCTTACATTTAGAACAATGCATAAAAATAATATCCTCAAATAATTAAAAATACTAACTTACCTAATCTTCTTCAGAATCTTAATTACGTGTCCGATAAACTTTTCTTGTTTCTGTTTCAGGATCTTTAAAATCATACTTATAGTTCACAGCAAGGTACCAGGTAAAATAAATAACTTAATAAAACATCTTTACTTCTATCTCGCACAACCTTAAAGAAACACTTATTACTATCCCTTTCAATCCCATTAAATACCCATTTCGAATTCACTTTAGTTAGGGCCATGGGATCCAAAAATTAACGAACACTGTTTCACACAACACAGAATAAAGCCAAATACAAAATTTGCAGATTTTTTTCCCGATTTCCCCCCTTTTCCGATTAAAGAACCGTAATTCGTCCATTAATATCACATGACATATCCCATGATCTCTCATTTCCCTCACACAAAATAATGCGTAATCGGAACTGAATGCTTCTCACATTATTCCCAAAGTCCCAGGTAGTAACCTTTATCGCCTCCAAAATGTCGCCAAACTACCAGTTACCATATTCTAAAGATCAGCCGAAGATTCAATGCCACCATATTTTACTTTTTCTATCAATTTCATATAAGCTTTTTGGTTATTCAAAATAGTCCATATATCCCATATTTTTATTATAATCTATAATTGCCTTTGGACATTGTATCTGAACTTTCTGTCCAGTTTTTTCTTGGTTGATCTTTAGATTATGGTAACTTGGCGATTTTTTGGCAAAAATTTGTCGACCAACTCTCCTACAGCAACCCTCTATTTTTTTTTTTCCCCGCTGCCATTTTGTCTTCACGAAGTAAAGACATGTTTCTTTTCTTTTTATCTACTGAACACTTCTTCCAACAATCTACTAGCCGAATTACACTTATGCTAGAAATTTTATCTAACAAAACTGCTTAATCATGACAAATATTCACTGCAAAATTGGGAAAAAGTGCACAATACCATACTCCTTATGCGTTTTTCAAAATAACACATACACATAAACCATGTACACGTCGACTTATTTTACTTAAAAAAACATCCCAGAATTACACAAAAATGGCATTGCGCACACTCTTCACTATATCCATGTACACTGCTTTTTTCTCATAAATTTGAAAAATTTCATGAAAATACATGACAATTTTCTGAATCTTTAAACCCCGGTAAAAAGAACATATATGAAATTACCTGATCGCGAAAAGTATATACCCTTTCCAAATATGAAACATTTCCACATATAAAATAAATAAAATATCCAGAAACTTTTACCTCTAAATCATCTATTATATTATAAACGTCACCAACGAATTCATACCGCAAACATTACAAATACTTAGTGTCAAATATTTAAATTATTT